ACCAAACTCATCCACCACTCTAATCACAGACTGGAAAAAAGGGAAACATATAACCAGGACATTAGTCTTCCACTACCTTGTTTATATTCAGCAGGAGTGGCTATTTTGAACATACTATGTTTAGTAACAAAGATAATATATAGCCACTGTGATAAACAGCCACTGATAGCTTTCTTCTCCATTAACTTGTCCTGTTTCTTTTTAAAGCTATTCTTGTCTTGATTCTAACCAATAGAGATGACTTGGTAGAGGAAGTGCCAGTAAGGGGAACTATGGATGAGAGTGACCATGTTCTACTAGAATTCATGATTTCAAAGGAAACCAAAGCAAAGTATAATCACACATATATGCTGCATTTTAAAAAAGCCATTTTTAAGAAACTCAGAATAACAATAAGTAAGGTTCCATGGCAGGCGATGCTAACAAGAAAAGGAATCCAAGAAGGGTGGGAGTTTCTTAAAAAGGAAGTGCTAATAGCACAACTATAAACAATTCCAACCAAAAAAAAAATGGCGGAGACAGCAAAAAAGTCCAGTGTGGCTTCTCAAAAAGCTCCGAGAGGATCTAAAAACAATAAAAGGACACATAGGAAGTGGAAAGAATGCCAGGCCATAAAGGAAGAATACAGACATATAGCAAAGAATTGCAGGGATGACATTAGGAAGGCGGAAACTGAGAATGAGCTGAGGTTGGTTAGAGACATTAAAACTGAGAATGAGCTGAGGTTGGCTAGAGACATTAAAGCAATAAAAAAGCATTCTTCAGATATGTGCGTAGCAAAAGACAAAGAAAAGAAACAGTGGCTCAACTACTCAATGGAGTTAAAAAAAAGGATAACAGAAGACAAAGAAAAGGCAGAAATGCTCAATTCCTATTTTAGCTCAGTCTTTTCCCAAATCAGACTATAACCCTCCAGACAAATGTGAAGTACATGTAGAGAAGACAAGACTGCAGCTGGAGATTGATAAACAAACAGTCAAGGAATACCTTATTTCCTTGAGTTAAAATCTCCAGGGCATGATGAACTACATCCAAGAGTATCGAAGGAAATGGCTAAACTACTCTGAGAACCACTGATGAACTACATCCAAGAGTATTGAAGGAAATGGCTAAATTACTCTGAGAACCACTGTCCGTTATTTTCTAGAAATCATGGGAAATGGGTGAGGTACCAGATGATTGGAGGAGGAATCATTGCCCCTATCTTCAAAAAAAAAAAAAAGAGAGGGGGGGGGAAACCTGGGAACTAAAAAACCAGTCACCCTGACATCAGTCCCAAGGAAAATTCTAGTACAGATTATAAAGTGGTCACTATGCAAGCACCGAGAAAACAATCCAGTAATAACTACCAGTTAACATGGATTTGTCAAGAACAAATCCTGCCAGACTAATCTGATCTCTTTTTTTGATTGGGTAACCTGATAGAGGGAATGCTGTAGACATAGTATATCTTGACTTCAGCAAAGCTTTTGACAAAGTGCCCCATGATATTCTGATTAACAGGCTAACTAGGTGTGGGCTGGATAGGACAACTGCCAGTTGGCTACAGAATCATACCGAGAAGGTTAAAACCACTTTTCAAACTGGGAAGAGGTAACAAGTGGGATATCACAGGGCTCAGTCCTGAGCCCAGTGCTCTTCAACATTTTTACTAATGACATGGATCAAGGGATGCAGGGAATGGTAATACAATTTTCAGATGACACAAAAGTGGGTAGAACACCTAACACCATGGAAGATGGAAACAAAATTCCAAATGATCTAGATAGGCTTGAGTGCTGGGCTGAAAACAACAAAATGAAATTCAACTAGGATAAATGCAAAGTACTGCACCTAGGAAAAAGACACAGTTACAAGATGGGGAAATGCCTAGCTCAGCAATACTACAAGTTAGAAGGATCTTGGAATTGTTATAAATCACAAGCTGAATATAAGCAAACAGTCTGATATAGCTACAAAAAGGCAAATGCTTTTAGAATTGTTATAGATCACAAGCTGAATATAAGCAAACAGCCTGATATGGCTACAAAAAGGCAAATGCTTTTTAAAGTTGCATTAGTATAAGTATGGTTTCCAAATCCTGCAAGATACTCGTTCCCCTCCATTTGGCATTGGTTAGGCCTCATCTTCAGTACTGTGTCTAGTTCTGGACATTTCATTTCAAGAAAGATGCTGACAAATTAAAACAAATTTAGAGGAGGGAAACAAGCTGGAAACCAAGCTCTATAAGGAAACTCAGCATGTTTAGCCTTGATAAAAGAAGACTGAGGTGAGATATGGGAGCACTTTTCAAATACTTGAAAGGCTGTCATACAGAGGAGGGGCAATATCTGTTCTTGATCAATGCAGAGTGCAGGACATGCAACAATGGGCTCAAGTTATAGCAAGCCAGATTTCGGATGAAAATCAGAGAAAACTTCCGGATGAAAATCAGGAAAAACTTCCAGTTAGAGCAGTATAGCAACGGAACCAACTGCCTTGAGAGGTGGTGAGTGCCCCAACACTGGAGGCATTCAAGAGAAATGTAGACAACCACCTAGCAGATATTATTTGATTTGTATTCCTGCATTGAGCAGGGGGTTGGACTCGATGGCCTTATAGGCCCCTCCCAACTTCTCTATTCTATGATTCTAAAGCTATCAAAGTTTGTGGCCATTACTACATCTTGCAGTATTGAGTTCAACAGTTAATTAGGCACTATGTGAAAAATTATTCTGTTTTATCTGTCCTGGATCTCCAAGCATTCAACTTTATTGTATGAGATCTATCAGACCTCCTATCAGGCTATCAGGTTCAGACTACAGTATATATCTGGAATAAGAAAATTCCAGATGTTGTGCATAAACAGGGAAGACCTCTGGAAGAAATTAAAATGGCAGTGAACAGAGGCAGGACGTGTATGATCTATTTCATCTGAAACCCTTCCTGCTATTGCTTTTTGGGACATCCTGTCTTACGGGTTTAGCTGGAAGGTGAGTAGCAAGAAAAGGAGAAAACAAGCAACATGTGTGAGAGGAGAAATAAGTACTTTCATCATGCCCAAGACATCTCCATCCTGCTCACCACATCACCAATGGTGCCCAGTAGAGACAAACTAGAATGGCAGCATGGCTTACTTTACAGAGAACAATCTTCCTTTAGAAAGGCTGTCAGAAAACCATCATCTTTTCAAAGCTATCCTCTGTTTTAATGGTTGTCTGGACCAAGTCTGGTTCAGTGATAAAGAAGCATAATATAGGAGAGGAGGGCTATGAATTTGTCTATCAAAATTTACCACCAGAACAACAGATTGAACGGCCTGTAAGTCACTAACTTCAGTGGTCAGCTGTGTTGTACCTTTCCATTTAAATGACAGGCCTTATTTCTAAATGTGTAGTTGAAATATAAATTAGGTTCCACAAATTTTATGCAGACAACTATCCTCCTACTTCATTTCTGCTGATGCATCTCTTTTCTTGGGAGCAAAGCATACATGCCGACTTTAAGGCAATGGCAAGACAACAGTACTTTATATTTACACTGACTAACTAGCTTTTCTTCAGAGTGTAGATCAGTAATACTACGCCCCTCTGTTCTCTGACATGCAATCCTCCTGTGTCAAAACTCCTTCTTCCCACTGTTTAATAGCTCACATTCCCTTAAGCATTTAGTTCTTGGATGAAGGTTTCTATGTTTGCTTCTGCTCTATGTTAAATTCCTGTGTTCTTTACTCCCTGCCTACTTTTTCTAGTGCCTGTACAACATTGTTTTGAGCCCCTTTCCATTTTGTAGCCAACAATGCATGTTTTCTCATTAGTGCACTTGTAAGCTTTTTTCCTTCTACCTCTGTTTCCACTTTTAACTTGACTTTCTGTTTCCTCTTTGCTTTCTCATGTCTCTGTCACTTCTCAATTTTTTTCCTTGAGGCTCCTGTGACTTAGGGAAGTGCCTGCTCTGCAATCTGCCTTTGAGTTCCTTATGAAAAAGAATGTTCCTTTCTGAAACCTCTTCCAATTTTCTATTCTTTAGTCTTCCTACGTGCCTATTCTTACAAAACTGTGTCATAATGTAAAGGAAAGGATGACTGCCAGTCCAACAATAAAATGACTTCAGAGCCTGTATGACATTCTAAATCCCAGTCAAACTGACCTCTCACCTCCCCCACAGGAACTGAACTGTTTGTTAACATTGTATTGTTGACATTTTCATTTCTGTAGCAGTTAGAATGTCTGGGAACATTCTTAGGTATTACAACAGCTCTGTTAATCACTGTTAGTGTTCAGTTCACAAAATTCCTTATTACAATAGAAATAAATAATAAAAAGGGTCAAAGCAGGTGTGTGTAAAATAAAATATCTGTTTGGTTGGAATAAGCTGTCATGAAGAGCAGTATAAGGATATATTGGTATCAGTAGATAGCAGTGAAGGCCAAATTTGTAAAATTAATTCCCAAATCCTATTAAGACAACTAAAAGATTAGGAAGAAGAGAAACTTGACTGGCAAAACTCTTAGATACATGATCAATTCTGAGGCTTAATTATGTTAGGGCTAGTGATTATTGCTCTGCTCTGGAAGTAAAACCATCTGATAGGATATTTATTCAGTATAAGTAAATAACTGAACAGAGATTAACAACCAGGTATGTATGTGTTTCACTTCTCATCCTAACAAAGCAAACATTAAGACATGCCTTGTCACTTTGTAGAATGCATCAAACTAACAATACACAAACATATCTCTGTTAAAATAACTGCATTTTATATAGGTAAAGAAAGGAAATCCTTTTCAGAAGCTGTCAAGGAATTACAAAATCACAGCACAGACAGGAAGTATGCTGTTTAGAGAGCTGGTAGAGTTAAACTTTTCACCTGACCTAGTTAAAACTCTTCCATAAATTCTCACCTTTAAGGATTGTAGCCAGAGACCCCCTGAAACATTAAATCTGCTATTTGTAAGGCATGCATAAAATCTTAGAATAAGAATCTAGAACCAATGTTTTATTTTCTACTTGGAAACTCACCTTGGCATGCAAACTTCAGTTCCTTAGCATCTGTAACTGTACTTCTTTTGTCAGACCTGTTCTTTTCATATCGACGATTGCTTCGCCTTCTCTTTGTCTCACCCCACAGATTTGATCCCCCATGCATGCTTGGAATGTTCAAAATGGCAATCCCCTCCAGAGAAATATTGCTCAGATCTATCTGAATTCCATCACACTGGTAAGAGAAGAATCAGAAAGGAAAAAGGATGCAAAATAAATAAATAAATATCAGTGGCTGTGGCAATTTCCTCTGAAGCCCCTATTCCCCCAGGCCTTCACGAGGTTCTCGATCTTCTTCTTTCTTCGCTGCCACCAGGTATTACTGGTTTAATACCATTTAATCATGGAGACATGTATGCTTTTAAAACTTAAGTCATTTATTAGATCAGGGAAATTAATATATGATTAATATTCAATAGGTAAATCACAGGCTGATAATCACTCGTATTTGAATCAAAACTGCTATAATTTTAAACCTCTTTTAACTCTCTATTCCATTCATCCTTCTCACAGATCTCTAACTCACTCTTAGTTCACTTTTAAGTCTCACACATCTCTCTCAGACTCCATCCACCAGCCTTTATATCCAACTCCCTCCCCCCCCCCGGTTCCACCTTCCGTCCACTCATAGGCTACTTCTTCACTGTTCTGCCGCGACAGACAGGTGAGGGCAGGGCTATTCGCTACAGTGGGCAATTAAAACGATCATAGAATTAAATTATCATCTGAATTACAATGCTGTACATATTTATCCATACACATTTTCTATAGCAGAGTGTATAAAAAGAAGAACACAGGATTCTACTGATAACTTCTTCCCACATCACCTCTGAACTACTAAATGTTATTATTATTTTCTTTTGTATGTCATTTCAGGGATGATAGTTGTAGAGGATTTGACTAAGAAGAATTAGAAATAACATGAATGAAAACAGTATCCTAAAAAATTATGTCATATTCTTGCAAGCTTTTATCTACAAGTGGCCAGTTCAGATGAACTGTAAGTGTTCTATCGATAGGGACAATGAGGACATCAGCGTCTGACTTATCAGATATGTCTGTTTCACCTCCAAGCCCTTGGAACTTCTATGCAGATGTAACATTTGTAGAGGCCTTGATTCTGTTGCTTCCTTGAATTTATAAAGGCTCATTCATGACCACAGCATTACAGACTATTGCTGAAATCCTGCTGCTTTTTTGCACATGCAGAAGGAAAACAGTGAAATATTCACTTGCTTCTAGTCAGCAATTAAAGAGTTCCCACTGGGATTCCTGAGCATGTGTCAAGCCAGTTAGTGCATGCATCTCAAGAATTGCAGCAGCAACTCATTAAATGCCATCTAGAAGTTGAGTGATGTTATGCTATTTGCCTTCTGCATGCATTAAAAAGCAACAGGATTCCAGCCTACATCCCTCAGAATTTGCATAGTCTCTAGAAGATCCTATGTCTTAAATTATAAACATCCAATGAGTTTGGAGGGGAGACTGATTTGTTCAAGAGGTGGTTGACATAAGTATCATTTAGCTTCTTGTATCACCTTTACAGTTTGTCCTAAAAGTCTTTCACTCAGACTGTTTTAAAATCTAGCCAACCAAGGTGCTGGGAGAAAAAACTAACCGCAGCTCTTAGGGTTGGCAATTTGCATTTGCTTTTCAGGAACAGAGTTTTAATCTACATATAATATTTATGGAAGGAAGCCAAAATTGCAGTTACATATTTTAAAGCATTTATGAAACAAGAAAAAAAGTCCATATTTTGTACTGTATTTCTTCTAGTGGAATCAATTTTTTTTACATCTCATATATGCGTAAAACATTAATATTATTTCTTTTTACTAACAAATTCTGCTCATGTGTATACTCGCTTACTGCTATACATTCTTGATAAACAGATATTAATTTCATAATTAAAAGTAATCTTGTGTAAATACCCTGCAGGCCTCAATGAATCAAACACATACTGTGTGTCAGGCCTCCCACTGTCTTCAAGTGGAATGTACTGGCTGGATAATTAGATAGTACATATTTTTTAACCTTATTTGCATGCATATTATATCTTTTGCACACTGACAAGCAGCAGTAACAACAAAAGTCAGATTACCACAGGGAATTCCCACAAAGAAGTCTTCATTCCTTATAATTTGCAGCCTAAATTAAAATAATTTGATCTTTGACAAGGATGAAATGTCAAGCAGAAGGGGGTCCTCTAGAAGCCACAGGCTGTGGCTTCTGAAATCTGCCTAATTTATGTCAGTCACTTCTTAATACATATTTAAGTATTACACGAAAAAGATGATAAATATGCAATCTGACACCTTTGGTATTTCCCTGCTGTTAATTTATAAAGGTCTTGCGCCCCCCAAACTGACTAAAATTATTTAAATAAAGGGAGAATTGTGATATAAGATGGTACAGGGAGCATTTTCACGCAATATCAAACACAGCAGGTAGTATACTAAGACAATTATTTCACTAGGCCTTAGATTCCTGCTGTGATGAGTTACTTTCAGAATTAGTAAAGGAGGAATTCTTTTGTTCAGGCACAGAGGAATTTTCAGTACAGGACTATTTCCATTGTGCTACTCTGTCTAAGCTAAAACAAAAACAAAAACAGACTTTATTTTACTCCTTCTGTTTCTCGAATAATATGATGGTCCAATATCATAGCAAACAGAGAAAACCAACGGTAGTCCCAATGACAGTAGACTGGTTGAAATTAATGGTACTCATATTAGTGTTCACTAACAAGTCACATTCATTTCAATGAGACTCGTTAGTCATTTTGACTCTCAGTGGAATGAAAACTGGATTTAGCCCAAAATATGTGAAAGTGGTATATACAGGATGATGTCTGGTTTCTAGATTCAGAAGTTGATGACTTGGGTTAATGTTGTGTTCTCTCCTTTTCTCTACAGCAAGGCCTACATAACCTTCAGTGTCTCAGTGTTCAGGTTTTACAATAGGGGGATAAAATAAGGATTCTATATTTCATCATGAACTTTGAAACTGAATAATTTCACTGTTTATGAAGCTGAAACTGGCAAATCTTCCACATGTTTCATTTGCAATAAGAACTCTCCTAATAGTCCTTCTGAAGGCATGTTTTCACATATATTTGGATCAATATATTGCTTTACTTCTGCTTGAATAATGAACATACAGGTAGTTTCTTACTTCTATTTCTAGAGATTCATGTAGTTTCTTGCAGGTAGCTGAGAAAGTCTCAGAAGTGCCAAATTCAAAATACCAAAATTTGTTCTTCATTCTGAAACATGAAGGAAAAAAAAGAGAGAAGAAACATCAATATCTTAACATTTTAAAAAGTTAGCATCCTGACTTCCGCCATAAAGGATGATACCATCTGACATCCAGTTTGAAACAGATGAGCTCATAATTTTCAAAAACTTAAATGTGGCTGTCAAGAGGTATTATATCCCCTACAGCAATAACAGGAAAGTTCTGTAACAGAGATAGATTAGTTAACTCTTGGGGATTTTTGGCAATTGCTACCTAACCACAGACATGCCTTGAAAACTTATTATGCACCATTTTATATACTGTAGCTGCTAGTTTGATGTCTGGTATTGTTGAAAACTGTCTTCAAGGGTATCCCATCATAATGAAGTGAAGTGGAAAGCAGAAAAAAATAACTCTTTCCCAAAACTAGTTGCATATAGTTTTTAATGACATGTATTTTAAAAAAGAAAACACAAGAAATGCTCAAAATCCTACAAGTCAGGCTTCAGCAGTATGTGGACCAAGAACTCCCAGAAGTACACGCTGGATTTTGAAGGGGCGGAGGAACTAGAGCTGAGGCTCCAATACTTTGGCCATCTCATGAGAAGAGTAGACTCCCTGATGTTGAGAAAATGTGAAGGCAAGAGGGGAAGGGGGCGACAGAGGACAAGATGGTTGGACAATGTCATCAAAGCTAGCAACATGAATTTGACCCAACACTGGGAGGCAGTGGAAGACAGGAGGGCCTGGTGTGCTCTGGTCCATAGGGTCACGAAGAGTTGGACACGACTAAACAACAACATTTTAAAAAGATTTTAAAAAAGAAAGCACAAATATTCAACATGTCTTTATAGACTCACCTATAGGATGTCCCTAATTTTTAGGGACAGTTAATGGGCATACACTAATGCAAAGGAATGGAGAACAGAAATGTGGATATTTGAAAAGTTATCAGATTTTATTCTACTGTCCTAGAAAACTAATGGAAAGTATATTGAATACTCCAGAGGAATACATACTACATTCATACTTAACAGGTATGTTATGTGTTTCACAGACATCAACAATAAAGTTTTACTCAGTGATCAAGAGTTGTAGATCTGGGCTGATAGACTGTCCTCCTCACTTAAAAAAAAGACTCTAAATATAAGTCTTGGAAAAAGGCTACTGAAAAGAAAATGAATCTATATATCTATCTTCAGTTCCTGAACAATCTTTTCGGTATGCATGAGTGTTGTGTTACCACTGCACATGGTAGTCAAACTATTGATACTTAACTGACAAAATACTTTGGATGCACTTCATCTGTCTTTAGTACTGATTTACAGAGCTAGGGATATTTTATATAACATAATTTCAATTGGTGCTTATTACAGCCACAAGGAAAATGTGTGCTGAAATAATTCTCAATCTGGTGAAGCATTTTAAACAAATTTTACTGCAAAAGTTCAAAATGAGCCCTCTTCCTCCACCTTGTGGTCCTTAAGTAACTGACCTAAATCTTGTTCCTTTCCACTTAAAAAATTAACAACAGCTTTCAAGACTGCTCTCACTTTAGAATGTTACCGTAAGAAAAAGTAAAGCTTCAAGTCAATGGAAACTGCATACAACTACTGTATTAACTCTGAAGGATATTCAGTTCTCAGTGGCCTGCCTTACATCCCAGACAGCTAGAATTTAATGTGAATTTGTATATTCTCTTGATGAAAAGAATGCTTACACATGAGGCTGGACAATAGTTAACCTGCAATCTGTTTTGTCACTGAACTCTAAAAACAAAGCTAACCAGACCTTTGAGTCTATGTAAGTGACAAAAGTGTTAGCAAAGTTTACTAAAAAATTATATTTTTAAAAAGTTTTTACTCCGTTCACTTCCTAAAAATACTTAAGTAATTATGAATAATTTATAAAATAAAGTCTTAGTGAACTATAAAATCACTTTGCCTGACTCTGGTGTCTAAGTAGCCGAATATTATAGCGAATATTAGTCTGATGAAAACTCAGAAAGATATATATAAATACAACACACATGTCACACAAACATGCTTATCTTGAAATGGCTCCCTTAGAAACCAGTCTATAGAAAATTTTCTCCCATTATTGTTGGTTTGTTTACAGAGTGATGACCAATCCATTCTGGAATGTATGATAACCTCCCCAAAGTACAGACAGCCCACCTCTCCAAAGCAAGTAATAAACAGTCTGTAAGGGGTTTGCTCAGAAACCAGGACAATCTTTTTAAAACAAGTATTCTCTAATTATTTTAAGCAACTTTTCTGGTCTAATGTCAAAATCTGGTGACCAAGGGATGCTGGTTATTGGGAGAGAGGAATAATTATCTACTGGCCCATAAAGTCCCCCCCACCGCAACCCCCCCCCCAAACCAGTCTGTGACCCTCCTGGCAAATGTGACATACAGGTGGATGGGACAAGACTGCAGCTTAAGACTGATAAACAATGATTTCATGATTCTATGGTGCCTCTGTGATGCAATCCAAAACAAGAAATACCGATAAGACCGCCGATACTGGCAGTTTAACTGCCAGATAGGGCTTGGGCATGGAAGGGGACAGATAGGGTTGAGTATGGTATCTCAAAAGGAACTAGGTAGAGAGGACTTTTCTCTGAGCCTCCTGGAATAACTCTAGAGGTGCTTTAGGAAATGGTAATGAATGCAGATAAAACATTCTAGGAAGGACTGCCTCATAACATGAAACACAGAGAGTGGGTAAACTGGGATTACTCTTGGTTTCAGTCATGTAGCCAATCTTCCACCTTCTGTGAGGGAGTAACATAACCATAGCTGGCCCAAAGAATCAACTCCATAGCCTGTAATCACGAGTAAATACATCATTTTTCATTTTTCATTTTATAATGCATGCAGTCCCTTCGGCCACCTAAGATGATATAATTTGCATGGGCCCATTTGGATAAAGATATATTTTCTTCAGTTATTCAGGTTCTGGTAACGTGCTGTTTAAATTTCTGCAATGCATTTGTATACATTGGACCCTTGACTTACGGACGGCTTGACTTACAGACTTTTTGAGTTACAGACTTCTCTGGCCGCAAAATTTAGGTTTGACTTGCAGACTGAGATTTGACTTACAGACCAGAAAAAAACCAAAATGGAACAAAAATGGCCTGTTACGGGATTAATCGGCTTTCAATGCACTGTAGGTCAATGGAGACTTGACTTACAGACTTTTTGACTTGAGAACCGCCTTCCATTACGGATTAAGTTCTCAAGTCAAGACCCCACTGTATATGGTTGACTCTGAAGACAATATGGAAATTAAATTATCTTGATACTTTGTGTGGAAGTTCTGATTAGAAGATACTTCAACCACAATCCTGCATCTATGTACCTAATATTAAATATCTTTGGATAGTGTGGGACTTATTTTTGAACAGACATAGAAAGAAATGCACTATGAGACTGCAATGTTTTATCCATCTTTCCAGCAGTAAGCCCCAATGAATGCAGTGGAGCTTGCTTCTGAGGGAACATACAAAAAAAATGTGCTCTGACTGACTTTAATCCCCACTTCACCCATACGGACTCAGCTCAAAAAGTGAAAGAACATCTGATTCTCTTCATTACCACATATGATCTCAACAATTGCTAAAGGTAAAGCTTATTCTCAGATAAGAGAAATATAACGTTTCGGGGGGGAATAATACTTCAACCACAATCCTGCATCTATGTACCTAATATTAAATATCTTTGGATAGTGTGGGACTTATTTTTGAACAGACATAGAAAGAAATGCACTATGAGACTGCAATGTTTTATCCATCTTTCCAGCAGTAAGCCCCAATGAATGCAGTGGAGCTTGCTTCTGAGGGAACATACAAAAAAAATGTGCTCTGACTGACTTTAATCCCCACTTCACCCATACGGACTCAGCTCAAAAAGTGAAAGAACATCTGATTCTCTTCATTACCACATATGATCTCAACAATTGCTAAAGGTAAAACTTATTCTCAGACAAGAGAAATATAACGTTTCTGGGGGGGGGGAAATGGTATCGATATTGTTCTAATTCCATCCCACAGGCTGTGGGATCAAGCTTGCAAAAATGAGACACCTCGCAGAAAGCATAGGGAGATGGCACAAGCCGTTGCATAGGAAGCATAAGGAGATAGTACAGGCAAGGGAAGACCGATTCCTAACATGAGTGAATCCAGGAGTGGCTTGGATGCACCTTTTGAGGATCTCACATTCCCAACAAGTGCTGCACCATAAACAATGACAGGAGTAAAAAAACATGTGGCCATTCAGAGCTATGTGACATGCTAGGCAGCTTCCACTGCACCATAAACAATGACAGGAGTAAAAACACATGTGGCCATTCAGAGCTTTTTCTGACTGCAGCTCCAAACAGCTCCATCCCAGTATAACCAATAGTGGGTAATAATGGAAGATGAAACCCACAACTATAGAAAGACCACGAGTTTCCCATCTCTGTATTATGGGGACATCTGGTATGACTGGCACATACATAACTTGTAGCTCAGGGATAGAGTGTACATATTGTATGCCAAATAGCTCAGGTTCTGCTCTTGATAGTCCCAGGCAGAGGTAGGAAGAACTCCTGCATGAAGCCACTGCTAATCAGTTTTGTCAGTCCTAGGCTAGCAAGACTAGTGGTCTGTTAAGGGTTAGAGTTAGGTAAGATTCCTACATTCTGTTACAACCTATGTGACATGCTAGGCAGCTTCCCATCGTATTATTCACCACCATGCTACTTCACTCTCAGTTTTGAAATTCCATACATTACACTCACAAAAGACAAAGAATACAGCTGTGCTATCTCACCAACAAAAATGACCATTTCATAAGAACTTAGATCTTTAAAAACAATAGAAAAGGCCAGTGAGGCTTTCAGTAACCAAAGTTTCTCTTAGTTTCAGTTGAGGTGAATGACTTTGGGTAAAATAAAGCTGCTTTGGTTATGAGTGCTAAAATAGGCTGTGGTGCAGCTTTGCATTATGATGTTAATTAAAAAGCCCCCCACTGTTAAA